AAAAAAAAAACTCTAAGGAATATGTGTGGCTTACACTAGAAGGGAGGGATAACATTTGCAGGGTGGGTCTGCTGGCAGTGTAGGAATTGGTATGTGACTTTACATGAACACAGTAGGTCTGCCTAATTTTGCATATTGTTCCTATGGGTAGTGAATTAAATTTTATTCTTTTATTTTAGGTGTTGAAGGGTGATATTCGACCTGCTATAGAAACTCATGAGATGCTGTATCAGGTTATAAAAAAGCATAACTTTCTTCCTGAGGTATGTTAGTATTTTTTTATGTGATTAAAAACAAAGGATCATTTCCACAGTTTGCAGTCTGCAGTTCTGCATTTATGACAAATGTATTTTAGATAGGGAATATTTTTCCTTCAGTTACCCTGTAATTAGCATGGTAGTGGGAGCTGTTGCTAAAATAATTGCTTAGATTTTACCTCAGCTGTTCCTAATTGACCTTGAATCATTTCACAAGTTGACGAAAACACTTGTACCTGTAGCTGCCTAGTAAAATAGCTGTGGTCTTGTAACATTAATTGGATTGTCTTTATTAACCCAAGAAATACAAGGAAGGAAACTAAATGTTGTGGTTTTTTTTCTAAAATTTTGCCTTGTGTCCTTGAGAGTTGGTAGGAGTGATTTGTTASTATTGCAGGCTCAGGCTTTGTTTGAGCAAGTAAGTTGTGCACACACAAACCTGCTGGAGTGTTTCATTACCCTCTGATAATCTAGAATAAATGAGAACTTCCRACTGCAATTGTGACTTTGGCTTTGCCTGTGGGATAAGATAATATGTTTTAGAGAATATTTTAAGTAATGCTCCTTTCACTTAAGATAGCAAGTGAGTCCAGAAAATCATTCTGGTAACTAGAGGTAGGTATTTGGAGTACCTTAAAATGATAAAAATTGGCACTGCATTTTTTTTCTCCGGTGCTTTGTACTTTGAAATGCTGTACATTTGAAAGATGATGTAGTTACGTCTAAACTAACATGCATCCCCTTTACTTAAGATTAGGCTTAAATTCTAATATGAGCTAGTAGTGAATGAAAGCTTTTATAGAGGTTAGCCTTTGTCAGTGCTTTTTTATGGGAGCAAAATATTAAGAGTTAACCTACAGCCTAGGAAATTCTTGCATAACTCATCTCTGGTTGCTGGTATTTTTATGTTGGAAGTGGCTGATATGAGCTGTCATTTCAGCAGAATAAATAATGCATGTTTTCAGTGTCAGGTGGTAGCTCTCTTTGCAGAAATTGTTTGTAGCATCTGTGGCAGTGTGTAGTGGACATTCACTTCCCTGGACCTGCCAGCCTCAGCTATGGAGTACTCCAGCTGTTGTAAAATAATTAATTTGGGAATCAAAATGGGCTTGTTCAGGTTTTATTCTAGCACTTGTTTTTGACTATTCTTTTTCCATCCTCAGGCATTCACAACAGATTTTAGAGTTCACTGGGCTCAGCATCCTTTAAGGCCTGAATTTGCAGAAAGCACTTATTTCTTGTATAAAGTAAGATCACTTTCTTGTCTCTATTTTTCATAATCTTTTCTTACTCTAAAATTTAACTGGTGTTGTATTTCAATGCAGAATGAGCAGCATGTCCGAGTTTTCTATCTACTTGAACTGTTTCTGTATGCAAAGATGAAAGTACCAAATTGTTCTGGGAGGTTTGTTTTATATGGCTAGAATTAAAAAGAAAATCATTAGATGACAATATTTTGGCCCATGTTTTTCAAAGGCATTTAGGTTTTACTGCTCTTGCTCTCAGTAGAGACAAGTGCCAAAGCTACTTATACCTTGTACAGTAGAGCATGGTAGTGACCATGTGTCTTAGGTGTCTTAGGCTTCTTTTAAGTATTTCCATGTGTTTATTTGCATATGTGTAAAAGGGTAGGTAGTACAATTATATCTCAGACATCTCTTACATTTATGAGAAGTATTGATAACTAGATCTTGCAGATATCTGAGAAAGCAGGAAACCAGAGTATATAAAATAATTAGGTGGAAAAAACTGAAGGTGCTAATTTTATAACAAGTCTAAGTTCACCTGTGCGGTGGGTTGTGTTTGTTTTTATAGGCTACTGGGGATCCTTACTATCTAGAAGTAGGAAAAACACTCATTGAAAACTTGAACAAGTATGCAAGGGTACCTTGTGGGTTTGCTGCAATGAAGGATGTCCGTACTGGAAGCCATGAAGATAGGTAAAAGATTTTTGTGTTGACTTTGCTTTCTAAAATCTAAAAAAAAAAAAGCCCCAGCTCCACCAACAACAAACACCTGTTTGTTTGTATAGTGGAATTATCTGACTTGTGAGCAGCCTTCTCTCTCCTCTCTGATGGCCAAGTCTGAAATTACCATGTTTACTTGTCACAGTCTGTAACTATTGAAATGATTTCCTAGATTCCATTAAACATGTTTTCATTGTCTTATAACCTTTCATCTTAAAGCTCTCCTTTTAGTAGTCTCAGAACACTAGATGAATTACTTTACAAACTTCTAGGTCTCTTTTTTTTTTTTTTTTTTCTTTGAAAGAGGCTTATTTGAGGTTGCTGTAATGCCGTTTTGAATTCTCTYGAATCACTTCCCTCCCTCTTTCCATTTGGAAAAAAAAAAACCTAATGGAATTATGTTCAAGAATACCGTGGACATTTCAGAGGTGGAGCAATATGTATGTATGTACTGGAATTTTAGAAAATATGGGTGTCGTCTTAATGGGTATTTTTTTTCCTACCTTCTATAGAATGGATTCTTTCTTTCTTGCTGAGATGTTCAAGTATCTTTATCTGCTCTTTGCTGATAARGAAGACATGATTTTTGACATAGAAGACTATATCTTCACTACAGAAGCTCATCTATTACCACTTTGGCTATCCACTACAAACCAAACAATATCTAAAAAAAATACAGTAAGTATCAACTCAAAATTTATAGCAAGTTGTAATATTCTTTTAAAGCATATTCCCTTTTAAGAAATGGAGAAAAAAGAAACAGGAAAAAAATGTCTGAAGGTTATCAGTTTTGATATTTTCTTCAAYTTGGACTATTTTATCATAATATTTGCAGTCAAATTAATACGAAGATCTTTTCCATGATGGAAGCTTGCACCACTGAATCTTGTGAAAAATGCTATGGAATATGAGTACTATTTAAAAAGATACACGTTGCCTGTCTTTATTCATATAGATCTGAAAATAACACAGTGCATTTTTTATTTTTGGTTATTTTCTCTTAATTTGTTTCTCAAGCTTATACAATGACATGGCAACATTTATGTGTTTTTACTACATTGACCCTCTGCAATTTTACAACAGTGTTTTGAGGCTAATGTGAAGTTAATATTGTAGGGTGCTTCTCTTWACCTTCTTAAGTACTTCTTAAGTACTTCGTGGTAGTACAAGGGTGTTGTGGAATACTGTAAACACTCCTCTTTGAGATGGTTTAGTTTATCTTTCAGGTATATAACTTTGCTGACAAGCAAGGTAAGTGCATGAGAGAGTGAACAGAAAGGTGCCCACAGCGTCAGGGCCATAAATTCTTTACTTTGCCTTGTTTTGACCCTTACTATATGTCTTCTCTGAAATAATTTCTCAATCAGAAGAGAAAACTTCTGTTTTATTTAAAGCTATGTACATCCTGAGGAAATCTTAAAGCTGGGTAGAGTGCGATGTTTCATGGAATCTAACATTAAAAAGAACTTCTCGAAATAACTTGCTCTGAACATCTGACACTGATAATACATTTAACATGTCTTGGAGCTGACTATCAATGTGCCCAGATGGTGCAAATCTTGCATATTCTTTATCTCCAAAATGTTCTTTCCTTGAACGTTTAACATCTCTTCCTAAATTTAGGAAACAGAGACTATGAAGAAAAGGCAGAATTAATATTATACTGAAAGTGCAATCCCTCTTAAATTATTCTTGTTTTTCATTTGGTGTGACCAGCATTTTCCAAGCTATGCAGGAAGTTATCAGAAGTGTCAAAAAGAACCTATAACTTGTATTCCCAGCATGAGAATGTTAAACCTGTAGCTGAGATGGACAGGATTCTCACTGTAGTGGGAATGAAATGCTGACATATAGTTTTCTCGAGATAACAAGTATTCAGAAAAAGGTCTAAAAAGAGAATGGAGTAACTTAATGAATGCAGTTCTGTTGTAGCTTTTTGGTAAGTGTAAGCTGCTAATGTGACTAACTCAAAAGTAAGAAAAATCACATTTAAAGTGGTATCAACAAAGTGTGTGGAATAGCTAAAAGTCTTTTAAGATCATTGCATTGTTTTTAATGACATTTTACTGATGGAAAAACTAAATGCCCAGTTATCTGAAGAGTCATTCACAGAGCTAAGAACAGACTGTTAGGATTTTTCCATTGTGCGCATACATATTCCACGTGATTTCACATGTTACAAAACAGTGATATGTGCAAATGCTAGTTCCTGACATCTTTTCTGAGAATAGATGTTGTTAGTTATATAAAGGTTCAACGTTGCTTTGCACTGATTTAGTAGACTATAATGCTCCCAAGGGGAGAATCTTTTGTTGATATAAAAAAAAAAAAAAAAAATGTGCAAGAGGCTACTATTTTTCTATCTACAGTTCTTCATAAATACATATTTATTTTTAGGATGCATAAGTGTGGGATTATCGTATGAATAAACTTGATCTGCTACGATGCTAAGTAGAAAATGTTCTCGCTCAAGGAAAGGGGTGAATTCTTAGTAGCATGGAGGAAGAATGAATTAAGGCCTGGTAGTGATAAATGAGGATGGGTAGAAATGAGAATGTGTTTTTTATCCCCAAAAAGGGATTGTGGTACACTGGTTACTCTTTAGCATTGCAGGATGAGACATAAATAACACTATGTGCTCCTCATGCTTGGAAATTGTGTGCTTGTGACTTCATCTGCTGCGTGTCCTGTGTACATGTGTCCTGTGTGTTGTGATGTGATGACTTAAGGGCCTGTTTGATTTTCTTATTATAAGAATATATCTTATTATAAAAATATATCTGCATTTTTAGTAAGTAACCTTTATCTTTCATTTTAGACTACAGAATATACAGAGCTGGATGACAGCAACTTTGACTGGACTTGCCCGAACACCCAGATTCTTTTCCCGAATGACCCCATGTTTGCCCAGAGTATTCGTGAACCTTTGAAAAATGTGGTGGATAAAAGTTGTCCTCGGGGTATTTCCAGAGCGTAAGATGAATATTTGCTGTCTTTTGGTAGTGTAGGAGTGGATGGGATTGACTGCTATGCATGGGAAGCGAAACACTTTAATATATGGGGGTATAGATTTGCTCTATTTGAGTTGGCAGTTCTTTTGGAATGGATAGCCTAACTATGGGAAAAATCATTTATATTCTGTCTCATGTTATCAGCAAAACTCAATTTCCATCAGGAATTGGTGAATCTTTCAAAGCAAAAGGATCTTGCGTCATGTGCCGAAAGAATAACTGGGCTACAATTTATTATGAGAAAAGTGTTGTAGTCTTTGACTTCTGCAGTCTCTTGAACAGTTCTGCAACTTCTTCTCTGTATTAAGTAAATAATGTCAGATTTTGAAAAGTTCAGGACAGCCTGTCCAAGTTGAGGAAGCTTGTCCTTCTGACTGCCCCTTTGATATTTATACTTCATGAATAAAACTGAGCAGCCGTTCTACTGGGAAAACTGTTTTTAATCATTCTTGCAATAATGCAGACCATTTAAAAATGAGAAATAGCTTTTAGTGGTTTCGTTTTTAGCAGCACCGTGTGAGCTCTTTTGTACAAAATGATTGAGAATATCAGCAGCTCTTTTGAAAGATAATTTGGCTGAGAAGTTGCTTTTTAGTGAAGTTTATACTCAGCTTTATTCCAAAGAATTCCCATCTTGTGATGGAAAGAATAACTTGTGACGTGTGTGCAAGGTCTTAAGAATAATCTGGTTTTGATCTCTGATATTTTTTGGCAGAGAAGAGAGTTTGGGAAGCGGACCAAAACCGCCACTGAGAGCCAGAGATTTCATGGCCAGTAATCCTGAGCATTTGGAGATATTGAAGAAGATGGGAGTCAGCTTGATTCATCTCAAAGATGGGAGAGTGCAATTAGTGCAACATGCAGTACAAGTAAGGCCCAGCAGTTACCTTTATTAAAATCTTTAGTAAACTCCAAGCCATTAGGATTTTGACTCTCTTAGCAGTTCAGAACAGGCAGGCTTACTGTGGAAGAGGCGTGTGAGCTTCATATGTAACCATATTTAATAGGTGGTTGCGCATTAATTTTTCATCCTCACAGCACTTCTTATCAAAATTACATTAAATTAGATGGAGACTGTTCACAAGATATAATTTTACTTGTCTGCTGGTGCCATTAGTACATACATATTTGCCATTGATTCATACCTAGGAATTTTCTCTACTTTAAAAATATTTTTATTTTAAAGAGTATTTTTAACCCTAAAGTTTATAGCATACATTTGTGTTGGACAGCGTTAGTTTTTCCATTAACACCCTGATGACTGTTTGGTCAATAAAAGTCAGAGCACTGTGGTAGCTGGATATGTTCTGTGAATATCTGCAAATTGATATTCAACTACTGAGTTAGGCTGTGGACATAATTTGCTTCTGGATAGAAAAGTGATACTTAGAAGTTAGTTCACTTCCTAATGTAACCCCCAAAATATGAAACCCTAATATTTCTTAATATTCTCTATATAGAGAATTCTGTAAAYGTCAGCTTTGAAGCATTTAAGGTTGATTAAATCAATTCTAACTTTTTTTGTATGTAGGAGATGGACACCAGGGGGTTACCTTAGTGAAACAATTCCTTTTATAAAAGAATTTCAAAGCAATGGGATTAACCACATCTTTTTGAAAATAATAGTTTTCAGATTGAGATATTTCTATTTGCTTAGGAAAGATTGATCTGTCTAGCTATATTTCACCCTGCTGTGTGGTGAAAACATTAACGTTAAATACTCCCTTTCAGCAGCCATCTTTTTTCATCTGAGGTGATGAATTAATGACAGTGGGCCTCCATTCTGTACTTTAAAATCTTTTTAGCATTTAGTGTTTACTCACTGTAGTGTTTTGTTAGAAAACTGATAAAACAGAGTATTATTCAGAGTCACTGAAGTATTGTATGAAGTGTAAACAGCGGTCAAAGCACTCACAACTTCTGGTTTATTTTCTTGTATTCCTTTCAAGTTCATCAAACACCTAAGCTGTGTCTTTTTGTGTTTGTTTTTTTCTCTCTCCTTAACTCCACAGGCAGCAAGTTCACTTGATGCTGAAGATGGTTTGCGGTTCATGCAAGAAATGATTGAACTCTCCAGTCAGCAGCAGAAGGAGCAGCAGCTCCCTCCTCGCGCTGTTCAAATCGTTTCCCATCCGTTCTTCGGCAGGGTGGTCTTGACTGCTGGGCCAGCACAGTTTGGAATGGACTTGTCCAAACACCAAGCTGGGGTATGTAAGATATCCATGTCATCTGTTGCGAGCTTTCCGTTGCTTTCTCTTTCATGAACCTGGATTTTGTGGTAGCGATGCTATTTCGGGTTGGTCAGCTAGAGATTAGTTTAATTGCAGCAGTTAAAATGCGACAGTGATGGAAGGTAGTGGCTTGTCAGTTTGCAGCCTGTGCTCTGCTCCTCGGTTATCAGTTGTAATTTAATATAGTCTCTAGTACTATGTATATAATACCTATTGAAACAAATTTATGTAATGAGCAGTGTACATCTTAAGAGAATGAAGTTCCCTAATGGGAAGATATACTACGTGGGCCATGGATTTGCAGAAGCCTTTTTGAAGTTAGGCTGTTCTTRTGCAAACTTTCACAAAAGGCTAACTCTAAGGGGAAGAAAATATCATTTAGGCAATGGTTCCTAGTGGAGACAGTAGACACAATCAAAATATAAGGATGGAAGAATTAAGTTTTCACATAGCCATTCTTTCTCTTCATAGAACTAAAGCTCAGGGCCCAGCATGGGATTCTCCAGAGTCACGAAATACAGTCACTGTAATAGGTTATCTGAAGAAAAAGGCTTAGGAAACTTGTAGGCTTGAACCTTGCTCTAATTCCACGTATTTTTTTTTTTCCCCCTCCCCGCCAAACAGACAAGAGGATTTGTTGCAACCATTAAGCCATATAACGGGTGCTCGGAGATCACTAATCCTGAAGCAGTGAAAGAGAAAATCGCTCTGATGCAGAGAGGCCAGTGCATGTTTGCTGAAAAGGCACGAAACATTCAAAAAGCAGGAGCAATAGGAGGCATTGTTATCGGTAATAAAATCAAGTTCTTTATTTGTGTGAACATGACCTATATTTTTTAGATTTGGAGATGCTGGAAAGCTGTCCAGCTGCTAAATATTCTGAGGGGTCAGTACTCCAGTAGAGAAATTATGATCAGGAGAAAAAATGCTGTGTTTATGTCCAGTTCTATGAAGGAAAAAAAAAAAAACCCCAAACAAGTTGAAATGAATGATTGTCACTGTCTTTGCAGATTAGAAGTTACCCTTTTAAGCATCGTGGAGTGCTGAAATAATGTTTCCTGCTAACTATTGAGGAAACCTTAATGTACAAAGTAAATGAAAAATGTTAAAGCTGCCTTTTTTTTACAACCAATTTATTATTTTGTACCTGGAATCCTCCTAGGTGACTGTAGGTTCAGATTTGTGGTCTTTTTATCTTTTTATCTAATAGAAGAGTTTTCTGGTTCTTTTCTGTGTGGGTAGATGACAACGAGGGAAGCAGTAGTGACACTGCTCCTCTCTTCCAAATGGCCGGTGACGGAAAGAATACAGATGATATCACTATTCCTATGCTCTTCCTCTTCAACAAGGAAGGAAATATTATACTGGATGCAATCCGGGAATATGAGGCTGTAGAGGTGCTCCTTTCTGATAAAGCAAAAGATAGAGGTAAGTGTTAGTAGGGTTGTGTATATATATAAATGGGTTGTGTGTGTATATATATATAAATGGACAGAGACACACATGAACGAACACACACACACACACATATGTACGTTTAGCTTCGATCTGTGCCATTTGGCACCATATGGAATGTATGGTAGTGATTTCTATTGATACCTAAGGGTATACATGAGTTATTTGGTAAGTTTAGCTTTCAGTTTGAAAAGCTAATACTAATGTCATATCAAGGCTGTTATTGGAGATGTCTTTCCTCTGTTACCTCCAAATTTTATTGCTATTTGTAAGTTAAATGTCACATTGGCTAACAAGACAATAGAGCCCTTTGGATTCCTTTTGAATCCTTTTTGTCATAATCTGCTTTGAAGTCTTGTCAGAATAATTTAAGTGTTTTCAGTGTCCCACATTGTAAATGCCTCTCTCTTAATGAAGCTCCCAAATGACATTCTCAGTACCCGAAAGGAAAGAGCTGACTATTTTGCCTAGGTAAGGGAAAGTGGTTATCTCAAGAAATAAGACTGCTGACCTCAGAACTTGATGGGTTTTCTTGTATAATACAAGACAATTACAAGTTAATAAGCTTCAAATTAAAATGCTTATGTGTGACAGAGATTTCTAGTTCCTTTCCTTTTGAAAGCCCTCCTCTGGACCGCATTTAAATATTTGTAGTATTGTTTTATTCAAGCAGAGCATGTAGAGAACAAATCTCTAGGACACTGGTGACAACATTTATTTTCTTGWATGTGTGGAAAGGTGATGACCCGAAAGCTGCAGTGCAGCTTGGTCACAGCTGCTTAGAGATTCTTCCTGTCTATTATAACTATAGTTGAGCTGTTGTAAGAAAATACTGAGTGCAAAAGGTAGTTCTGCATTTGAGAATTTGTAATGCGGTTGTGCTTCTTCCTCCTCCTCGTGCTCTCGTTTGGAATCCCAGCAACGATCTTTAAAGGTAAAACGATTCCAAACTACATTATTGATAGCAGTAAGTATCCTGTATTAAAATACGAAGTTACACTCCCTAGAACTCTTATATCCTAGTTACAAACATGCAGTTCTAAAGAAATCTGGCTAGTTAAATCGGAGCTCACGCAAAGTTAATACCTAAATTCAGATTTGAGAACTGAATGTTAGTTACTTTGAATTCAGATGTGAGGAGGGAGGCACTTGGGCTTTGTCTCTCTTTAACTCACAGTTTAGCAAGTTACTAACATAACACTGTGTATCAACCACTTACTTGGATTTGAAATCCTACTTATGCATCTGGGAATGCTTTAAAATTCAGCATGCACACATGGTGCATGTTAAAAGAGCATTTGCTTCACTCATGGAGGGTTAATTTCTTCCAAAAAGTCTGCACTTCTTTTTAAGATAGTGATCTTACATTTGAAATGCATATTCAAACATTTTTCTAGCTTTTTTTCAAACATTTTTTTCTTCCTCCCCTCTTAAAGACTTGGAAATGGACAATATGGACCAGAAATTGTCCGAAAATGATTCCCAGAAGCAGAGTTCAGAAGAGACTGCGTCAGCATCTCAAGGTGTTGGCTTGGCCAGTGAGGAGCCTGAAGGAGGCGACAGCTCTGAGGTTTCTCTGACGGATCCTTTGTCTCCTGTTCCTGCAGACAGTGACAGTGTTTCCACCTCAAATCAGGACTCCTTTGTCCCTGACACTGAGGCTAGTAGTATTTCCGAGCCAGAATGCGCACAAGCAGATAACCAGCCTCAGGAACAGAAACCTGACACAGTCTCAGACTCCAAAGCTAACTGGGATAATAAAGTCCCACCTATGGAATCCATATTAGCAGACTGGAATGAAGATATAGAAGCATTTGAAATGATGGAAAAGGATGAACTATGACTTGTAATAATAACTTATTTGTTAGTAAATACGTGGAGAACTCTTTTGGTAGAAGAGAGGCCCTGATATCAGCAAACTAGGAAACATATTCAGTATTGTGATGAGCAGCCAGGCTTCACCTGGAAAATACCGTAGAAATCCAGCACGTSCTCTTTGTTTTAATTTTTTCCTGTTTAAAAATGGGAATGTGCAATTGAAGCATTCGTAGGGCTCCATTGCATGGTGCTGTATCCCACCAGGAGGCTCCATCCGTGAGCAAACCCGACTTCTGCRTTCCTGGCTCCGAGAGCCCGTTTTCCTGTGGCCTCTGGAAGGCAGGAGTTGAACACGGTGGGGTTCACCTACCACTTAATGGGAGCGGGGAGAGCAYGCGGAGGCAGAAGGTCAGTCCCTGCTTTTGTTGTAGTGCAGGTGCCACCTCACTGATCTCCAGTCTGAAGCCTTCATGAATAGCGACATGGGAAATCAAATGTTTCCAGTTGTAGTGTCCTCCAGACACAGCTAGAAGCAGTTTGATTTTGTTCCAGCATATCATAGCAAGACACAGCAGTGCTGCTCATCATTCCTACCTGCTGCCCTGGGCAATGATTARGGTGACTTGGGAATTCTTCCCCTTCTGCTCCAGTTTGAAATCGAGACCCTCTGCAAACCAAAGGCAGCTGCACTTTGTTAGCAACTCCTTCAGGGAGACTGGGAGAGCCAGGATATTGGGGAGGTTCACAGCCAAGGCCAGGAAATTGTCCTTGAGGTTAAGGCAAAGGGACGAGACAACCGCTCAGTGCCCATATTTCCTTTGGTCTCCCAGGTTGAAAAACCATCTTCCCTAAGATACTGAATTTAGGACCGGTAACATTCTCTGAAAGGAGTCTAGACGGAATTCGAGTTAACAAAATCTTCTCTTCCCACAAGCTCTAACAGTCAGCTTGACTCTGTCGTTTTTACGTGCAGCTTCTTTACGTGTGATACTTAAGGCCGAGAGGCCAGTGCCAGTAGGGAAATGCAGCAGTTCTGGCTGTTGAGTCCATAGTTGGAAGGCCAGTGATGTGAACATGAAGAATGTCTGATACTTGACTCTGGGCTTTGGGGGTTCTCTGCAGGTAAGTGCGAGTCCTAATTTGTTATTCCTTTTCTGAAATACGTGTTTTAAGTTTAAGTGGTGGATGTTCCAACAGCTGAGAAACGTTCTGACTGTGTCTGAAGAAACTGCCAAAAACTAATGGACTTCATTTATATAAACTGCTTTTAGTGAATTATGATTTAAAGGATTGTTTTATATTAAAGAATAAATTAACACTGCCTGTATGCTGCACCAGGTTAAAAAAAATGAAGGTTTATATTAATCTTTACAATAAGGAAAAAAAAAAAGTCCCAGTCGGAAGCGCATCTTGGTTTAGCAGGTGAAAGGGTGTGCGCTGAATATGCAACGGTTACTCCTTACAGCCCTAGTGCATCTGTCTGTGTGTTGGTGTGCAGGATGAACGCGGGAGCACGTGTGTGCTTCCCGGCCGGCGCTTTCAGGAGCACCCGCGTGCGCGGCGCCTTTCCGAGCGCGGCCCTCGGTCAGAGTCCTCTGCAGCAGCTCGGTGGTGACTTGAGTCGCTAGAGGAGGAAGCGAAGCCGTAGCGGGGTAGTGAGTAAGTGGCCTTTGCAATGAGCTAGCTTCTGCGGGTAGCTGTGGTTCCTTTGCACATATAGCTCTATGGAGGCTTGAGCTGAATGAGTTTAAAGCAGCTGAGCTTTTTCAGTTGGAAGGGTTTTTTATTTATATATAAATATATATAAATATATTTTATATATATTATATATATATGTATAGTTTTATGTGGGGTTATTCGCTTAAGGAGTTTGATCTGGGGAGCCTCCGAAGTGTCCTTGGAGCCCCCGGCCATGTTCCCTGCTTTTCCTGGGATGCTCTTGCGGCGCCACTGGGCGCCCGGGGCTGCTCCCTGGTCCTTGGGCTCTGTGGCGCCGGCCGCCCGTGCTGCTCCTCAGCTCTCTGAGGGGAAACGGTTCCTCCACGTGTAGGGGTCCTCCAGGCCACATGTTAAGACTGTCAGTTAWTAACTAAAGCTTTCTTTGAATTTTACTTTAATCTTGGAAAAACTTACGTTTAATGATAAAACTCCTCAAAAAGATGGGCTTTCCCTGCCACCCCAGACTCCTTTTGTTTCCCAGCTACTTTGTCTGCACCTCTTGGTAAAGCAGGAGACGTTTCCTCTTGGCGATGGCCCCAACAGTCCCAGATTCGGCGTGGGTCTTGCCGCGTGCGTGCCCTACCTCAGCCAGATGCCATCCCTGCTGTTGTTGCAGAGTGTTTGATGTTGCCTTCCAGAACTATCATGAGAGCCATAGCCGTGGGGTTAACAAGTGGGATGTACATTTGTTTACAGAACCGAATCAGGAAAAGTTGAGCTTTGGGGAAAGAAGCATAAGTTGGGGGAAGAGATTTATTCAGGGTTTTCTGTTTGTTTCATTTCATGATTCCTTGTGAGGAAATAGATTTTAGTTAACTTGTCCTATCGTTTTGAAACTTCTATCATCATAAAAAGGCAGAAAGAATGTATTGATCTTAATAGTTGGAGAAGGGAGTGATTTTTTTTTGTTGTTGTTTTTTGCAAATTCTTAGAAGTCTGCCCCATGGTTATCCCTCCTGCATCCTCGGGTATTGCCTCTGCATGTGTCGCATGAGCACCGCCCACGGGAGCAGCCCTGCTCCGTGCCATCCAGTTCCTACTAGCCACTCACTTCCTCACGTGATGTTAGAGGAATGGTCTCAATTTGTTTACATTTGTCTTTCTTAACGAAGCTCCCAACGAGCGCGGCTGGGTTTCCCTCCTGCTCCCGGCGCCGCGCAGGGAAGGTGCCACAGGGCGGCGGGCGTGAGAGGCGTYGGTCAGAACATAGAGAAAAATAACATTCTGTGAATGAAATATTGTATGTTCAGATTTTATAAGTTTTTTTTTTTTAAGCCAGCCCAATTTACAGCCGTATATTTTCTTATGAAAGATGTTCTAATACCAGGTGCTGTAACACTATCGGTGGGTTTTACTGTCTGGTGATAAGTGTATACAATATTTCTTAAGGGCAACTGTGTACTGTGATGTAAAAGTCTGGGCTAAAATGTATATAATCTGTGTACATAATTGTGTACTTGATTATAATTGATTGTAAAGATTTAATAAAAATGTAAATATTCTGGTCACGCTGTTCTGAACTGACAGTAGCTTCTGCCTTGGGAGGAGCGGCCAGCTGGGCACCGCGTCACCTGCCTGGGCTGGGAGCTCTTCAGCCCTGTGCCTTCATTTCCAGGGTAGGGGTGAGTGTGTGTGTGTGTGTGTGTGTGTGTGTGTTGTTTCAGTTCCCCTAGAGCCTGTGTTTTATTTTTTCATCTTTAGGAGCAGGAATGAGGAAACGCCTCCCGCTCAATGAAGGTGCACGAGCGCCAGCTTTGAGTCTTCCATGAAGAGTTCAGGAGCGCTGATGTGTGCGTGTTTTGAGTGGAAGGTAGCGGCAGCAGAGGCTGGACCTGCGGTCACTGCGTGGGTAGGGGGATGTCGGGAGTTGGGCCTTGGAGCGTCTTGGACACGGGTGGGTGACGGTTGCCTTGCAGCCCCTTCTGCCTTGAGAGATGCCAGGAGGCCCCTAAGGAGAGGGGCTGGGGGAAGCGCCGCCTTCGTGACAGGGCCTCGCTCAGCAGGGCCTGGAAGGCACCAAGGGAGCAGCTGAGGCCCCTTCCCAGGGCCCGGAGCTGCCGCCACAGCCCGGAGCGCCTCCGGAGCTGCCTGCGCTCCTTGTGTTCCACCTCCTCATGTGGCTCCCACCTGGAGCTTCCCGCCGGCCGCCCACGCTCCTGCTTGCCCCGCTCCCTGTTCCCGCTCACAGAGATGACGTGGCTGCCATTTYGCGCGGCTGCTCCCCTCGGCTGCTGCACGAGTGCAGCGCCCTGTGACTTGTTGGGGGACTATTAATAGACACAAAATCGGGATGCCAGAACAGCCTGCCCGGCCCACAGCGCCGGCCCAGGAGCTGCTGCTCTCACCAGCTGTTAAGGCAGACAGGGCAAATTTCCACTTTGGCAGGGGTGCACATCTGGCCAAAAAAGAGAAAACACATGGTTTTAAAGCAAAGACACAAGCAAATGTCTCTGTGTGTTCCCCTTGCCAAGCTCGGCCTCGTCAGCCTCCACTTCATTTTGCTGAATGTGGGATCCATTGAGCACTGCATCCCAGAATGTGGGTTTTTCTTGAGCAGCTGCTCTGGTTCTTGGCTGTTTGGCCTCGATTTCTCCTCCCTGAACCACCGGCTTCCCCAAAGCGCCCGGCCTCCACACCCCCGGCCTCCTTGTCTCCCCTTCCCGTGACATTCCCACGTTTGAACTAAAAAAAAAAAGTGAATAACTTATTGAAAAGAGGTTTTCAGCAGGATTATGAACCCAGGAGAGAGACTTACAGTATTAAGCACTTTAAATTAATCAGCAGTAAGGCCACGCAGCTAGAAAAGTCAACACATCGTACTCACTTTCCCCTTCAGGAAGCCACCTGCTCTCCCCATGACGGCACCTTGTCCTTTATGTGTCTGAAAATGTTCACAGGAGGATTTGCTCCATCACCTTCCCAGGGATGAAGGATTTGTATGTGGAAATTTATAAATAAGATCTTCATCATTTAGAAAGCCAAGTATATGCTAAAAGGAAGGATCCAAATCCAATCCCCCTCCACTGTCTTGAGTTTGCAAAGCACCTTTGAGAGAAGGATTTTGGGGATCAATCCCCAGACTATTTAGTACTTAAACCACTCAAATAACTCAAGCCACCTGCTTGAGCAAAACTTATGGGGAAAAAGCCAGTCAGGCGCAAGAGGCCACCATGGTCACGTCCAAGACTTGGTGACAGACCAGGCGCTTCCTCAGCACTTAGAAACTACAACAGCCCAAGAGGACAACGTGCCAGGGAAAAGGATGAGAACCTCAACGAATTCAGACTGTAGCAAAGCAGGGAGAAGGTAACAAGCTCCTTTGAAAGAAAGAAAYTCCATCGCACACGTGAGATACCCCACAGTCAGCTTGCGGCTGCTTCGATACCTGACCCAGGGAGCCAAAAATGTGGGGGCTGCTGTTACCTCCACTCCCCCTATAGCACCGTGTTGGATGAACAGCGAAAGACCAGGATACATAAAAACAGTAAAATGTTTATTTTCTTAGAAAAAAAGAGATTCAAAATGATTGTGATCACACTCCCGTTCGTGCTCAGCAAAGCCAATACTGCAAGCTTAGTCCTCGATTAAGATGCCTAGTAAATGAAAACTCTTTTCCTCTTGAAAGCCAGATCCCTGCAGCCTGCATCGCTGCCAGCATTGCAGTGGTAACGTGCTTGTAACGGACACCGGCTGCTCCGCTTCTGCCCAGCGCAGAAACAAGGCTGGCCATGGCAAAATATCCCATCTCCAAAGCTTGAAATCACCAGCATTAAGAAGCACTCCGGCCCGTATGGACTCCTGAGGAAGCCCGAGCGGTCGCTTACGGACGTCTGATGTGACACGACCTTGTTCGCTAGAAAACCGGCCCGGAGCCTGAAAAAAAATCAACGCGGTCTTTCGGATTAACCTTAAGGATTCGCTGCATATCTGGACATGGAAAAAAGTGGAAAGTTGCGACGAGTTTTAACTAGCAGCAACGGAAACGGTCCCACACGAGTCCTTGGCGGGATTCCTTGTCTGGCCATTAAGAAACACTGGAACTGAATGGAGCAGATAATGTGGAGATGATCTTCTGGCGGGATGGAGCGCGCTCGCTCTGGCGGCGTCCCAAAGGTCTCGCGGGGCTGTACTCTATTTACACAGTAGTAGTCCTGCTTCGCCCGTAGCGCTGGCACTATGTGACGTCCTCCTCTTCTGAACAATAGTCGCGGCCCTTGAGGGACACAGACAGGTTTGTAACGGCATSACTGGAGACGTAAGTGACAACAAGCAACAGCGGCTCTGGAAGAGCTTCATCCTTCAGGATGAGCCCCAGCCCAGCAGATCGCCGCACCCCAGTGCCCGGCAGGGGCTCTCCAAAGCACAGGAGCCACCGTCACAGGCTCAGGGCGCTGCCRGAGACGGCGTGAGCCGGCCCCAGCCCGCTGGCACAAGGGAGCCCTGGGCCGTGTCTGCGCGAGGGCCCCCCGGAGCCTGCAGCATCCCATGTTCCCGCCGGAGGAGGCCGGGCGCAGCGCGCGCTGCAGACAGGGTCAGCAGCGGGGCAGGAGCCACCGGGACGCAGGCGCCTCGGCGGCGGCTCCCACCACATTCTGACTCTGCTGCCATCGGACGTAAGTGCATTTTGCAATTGCTGTTTTGAAGGTGGAGCTAGGCAGGGAGCAGCTTCCGACACCACCAGCCATGAATCCCRCCAAGGCAGGTTGCCTGGGTTGGGTTTTTTTTGCTTTGTTTTAATCACAACCCCACAGCTGTTTCTCTTCTAGGGATAGGTATGAACCTAGAAATGCATTGTTTACTATTTAATTGCATCTCAGGCATTTTGGTCCCACAGTGAGACAGCTGCCTACAGGCTGGGCCATAACCCACAATGACAACATAAAGATTAAGAGGCTCATTTCTGATCAGTACACAGGGCTCTAGCGAGAGCGAACCTTTCTCAGAMTCTTTCTTGTAGCCGAGATGGGGCACCCAGGGAATCCAATGGGAYAAGAAGAGCCCACCCCACACTTAGAGGAAGATAATTCGTATTTTGCTTTACCATCTCTTCTTTTTATTATTTTTACCCTCATAAATAAATAACCCCCACAGCTCTAAATACGAAAACAGCTCCCTGAATAGCATAACCCCGCCCCCCACTGTCTGTGTGAAATATTTGTTATTCCTCTCTTATTTTATACTATGCTTAAAAAAAAATCACATTTGACAAAAGCAAAACAAATCTGTTGTTTGGGACAAATAAGAGACTTATCGAGAGTAAGAYGCCAGCAGGGTGGGCAAAAAATGGCAGAAATTCACTGCTGTCCAAGTAAAAATTCCCCTCCTTCTCTGCAAACCCAAATTACCATGTGGGAATATGAATTATTTTATTCCAGCTGGGAAATCAAATGTTTAGCATCAGATATTAAATAAGGCACCAAACTCCAAGATGTGAAATCTAAGAAAACACTGAGTGAACATCAGCTCAGGGTATAATGAGGAGCCAAGTGTTCCTGCCCAGCTTCCCCTGCGCTTGCAAGGCCACCCAAACCAACCATTCAGCCTCTGACTGTCTCTATTTCAGGCTATGTCATGACATAAAAATTCTCCATTGTTTCTCAAGGAATCACACTCAGGTGGCAGACTGGCGGATAACGCAAGGATCCGTAAATGAAAGCTGTTATCAGGAAACTGAGCTGTCCACCCCTGTCCTTGAGAAACCTGCAGCCCAGCTGCTGCGCTGGGGCCACCATCCCATCCAGGCTCGGCTGGCTCCTCCGGCCCCTGTGGGTGCAGCAGCAGCCCAGCCCCCAGAGGCCTCCCTGGCTCCTACCTTTTCAATTTTTTCATCGAGCATCCTGAAGAATTCCTGCTGGCTTTCCGAGATGTGCATGCTGCAAAGCAAAGGGAGAGCATCGGGGACCATCTCCATTTTAAGCCCCCGCCGCTGMAGTCCAGGAGGGAGAGTAAAGCCCAAATTATAACCTGGCTCCAGAAGATCCCTTGGCCCAGCTGCTGGGGACCCACACGTGGCACAAGACCCACCCCAAGCCAGCGAGCCCACCCCAAAGAGGGCTTCACAGCCCCGACCTACAGCTAGGCCGGGCTCAACGGGAGTGTGGAAGCAGATGCAGCCACATGGCCCCTGCGGATAACCCGGGTGACGGGCAGAAGGACAGAATTATTAAGGAAGCCAAAGGCAAAACAACAAAAAGCCAGCGTTGCACTGCCTTAAGGATGGGAAGTTAAGGTAAGGGAGTGGTAGCAGCTTATTCATGGTTAAGAGGAAGGAACCAAGCACCTGKTATCTGTCTGGATGCCCAAGGTTTAACTGCTGTCCCAGACGTACAGAGCTTTATGTAACGATCTAGGTTCTCCTCGACAGWTCTTCCCAATCCTACTGCTCTAAATAACAACTTAAAACTCCCTCCAATGTGCTTTAACTTAATAATATTTGCAACACAGCCTACGTTTTTGTTTTAAAATAACAGCCATTCAGCAAGAGTAGAGAGTCCTAGAAAGGTACTTCACTGCTTGCTTATTTTTACTCTTCAAGCAAAGCTGGCTTTTCCCAGGCAATCCCTCCCCACTAGGGTTAGATGTGTTATAGTTTTCAGATTATAAACCTTTAAAAAAAAAAAAATTAAAAAATTGCATGTAAAAAGAAAAGAAAATCAAACTTACTTTGCTCGGGGTTGATGTACTAATCCTGGGATCTCTTTGTTAGACTTAAGTCTTACATTTGAACTGGCACTTTTTTCCTGGAACACACAAAAAGAACCACAACACGGGCACCATTAGCATTTACGGTTCACCTGCTGTCGGGCACATCTGCCTGTCTACCATGGAACACCCACTGTGAGACACCCACCAGAAACACCCGCCACGGAACACCTCTCCGTGAGACACCCACCAGAAACACCCGCCACGGAACACCTCTCCGTGAGACACCCACCGTGAGACACCCACCATCAGCTCTGAGGACACCCGTGTATGAAGGCCCCACTGAACCAGCAGCGGAGCCTCCCCGGCTGCACCAACGCAGAGCCGGCCTCTCCGACGGCAACGCCGTCGGAGCTGGATGCACAACCTCCCTTTGGCCTGCGCTTTCACCAGCGCTCCTCCTTGCCCTCAAACTTCTCCTAAAGGGCAGGCCTCATCCTGGAAAAAGGCAGGTTTCCATCCCTAGCCTGCCCAGGCACTCTGGGCAACGTTGCTGCTGCAAAATGAACACGAACGACCTGGAGACACTGCACCAGGGTCCAGCTCCCTGCACGCTCCAGCTGTGCAGCCCTGGCCGGCAATGTGGATTCTGCGGGAATTCTGCAGGAATTCTGCTGCTTCTGCAGGAAGCAGAAACACAAGGACTGAAGGGCTGCTGCAGAAGAGGGCGGATTTGGCCAGACCACCGTGAGCACCAGCCAACGGCAGAGCTGTCACCCTCTGTCCTTGACAGGCCTTGCGTTCTGGAGGTGCTTCCACGGGCCAGCAGCTCAGGAAGCCCCCAGCGCAGCGAGGCACCTACACCACACAGGTGCAGGAGCATGTACTGAGTATGTAGCACATTTGGCTGAAAGCAGGGAGAGCCTGGATGGTAACAGAAGTGTCATCCTTTTTAAATGCTTTCAAGCAGTGTGATTGTGAGACCAGCATCACTATACTTACAGGATCTCGACAAATACGAAAAAAGCAGGAATTTGATAAAATATAGTTCACTCTGGGCTTGCAAGCTTTGATGGGGAACTGCACGAAAGAGCAAGAACTGCTACGGAAATGGGAAAAGAGKAGCCGGTCTGGAAGCTGCTTTGGTTTGGCTTCGGTTATGCTGCTTTAAACATTTGGGTTTTCTGGCTCCTTGGGCTCTCAAAAGAGCAGCCAGGATGAGAAAATGAACATTGTGACCAAGATAAAGCCCCAAACCAGTGTCTGCAGGATTGGACACRGTACACGAAATTTCACTCCCGTGCCGAGCAAGGGAGATGGCTAAAGGTGGAGCTGGATTCCCCCAGGGCATGGAGAATTACGGCTTAAATTAARAAATATCCAGCAATGCCCAGGAGAAAATCCTGTGAGCAGAGAGGAGAGCTGCTCTCTGGGTTATATAATACCTCTTTAATGGCTTTTGTGCATCGGAGTGGTTGGAAGTTTTATCTAGTGAATCAAAAAATGTAGACAAAATTTTTGTCCACCCAAATGATGRAAAAAAATTAAAATCTTCATTATGAAAAGCTTCTTACAAGATTAGTGTGACCCTCAAGGAAATGTTTTAGGTTAGGCATGGCCCTGGTTTAGGTTGCAGTTACCAATGTAAAGCATGAGGCTTGCTCTTCTGCAGGTATCTCAGTCTCCCGGATCCTACAAACCCCTTGGGTAACAAGACCTGCCTCAGAATTAACTTCCTGCTTATTCAGCCTGCATCGGTAATATATCTCTCTCAACAGGCTTTTACAGGAAATATATTTACAATAAATGACAAATTACTCAGTGCCCTCCAATTTTTCATGCATGTCTCCTGCAGGCAGCTCTCCTCTAAGAGTGATGATGTGGAACGAGCCTGCAACGGGATTGCAAGAGGTCTGTGAAACATTTATAGCCAGGCATAAGCTGCTCTTAAAAGTAACTCGGTGTATTAGGCAGCCCATCAGGCATGTATCCATTAGCTTTTGCTTAAAAAAATAAAAGTTTTGCAAAGGCATTTTGCATCACATGTAAGGTGGTCTCGTTGGGATGATGGTGACCATCGAGTAGCCGATCAGAGGAGGTGTTAGAACACCAGCAGGTCCCTCCACCTGCGGGACAAGAGCGTGTTGATGGTGCCTCGTCTCTGCAGCTCTGCTGGTGCTCGGCTCGTAAGCGCAAGGGGAAGGTGGCAGCACCTGGAGTCTAACATACACCCCTTACTGCCTCCACAATGTGCACCAAGATCCTTTCAAAAACCAGGGAAATCAAAGTGTCCTACTAACCCAGCCTCACTAAGGACTTTGTCTCATCGGCTACAAGACACTCCTGCCTCTTGCTCAAATCCCGAGATCATGGAGGACATTTCTCCTCAGTCCCTGTGCCAGGAAGGGGCTGGGTCACTCACCCCCGCGTGCGGGGCCCGGCGCGCAAAGCAGCGGCATCAAGGCAGGGGTGTGTGTGCGCCCAGGCTGCCGGCGCCCACGGCGCCCACGGCTCCCTGCTCCCGGTCCCGCAGGCCCCGCGGGAGGCGCCGACGCTGCTCCCAGGCGCTGGAGCTGCTGCCCGGCTGTGTCATCCACCTGCCTGCGCAGGGAAGCACCAACACCCCCAGGTGGGTCCCCAACAGCAGCACGGCACCCACCTTCTCTCAGCACCATCCATGGGTAAGATTTTAACATTTCCTTACCATAGATTTTACCATTTCCTTAACCATTAACGTTGCGGACATTAACATCACTCCGGGAACATATTTTCAATGCCTGCATTTTGCTTTTGTTCTTACTAATTCTCCAGTTTGCAMAAAGCGTAAGATTTGAGACCCAAGAGATGGAAGTTGTAGTTCTTGCTACRTAGTAAATTTCACCAAGTGTTGCTAAAACGTTGCTTTTAAAGGACATAACTGTTTGATTATTATTTAGGATGACATATGTACTACGACACATGAAAAAATATTATGGCTGCAGGAGGAATCTTAACTGATTCATGTATTTTTTTAGAATCTTTTTTATTGTTTAGATGTCTTCAAATATGTGGCAGCAAACTTGAAAAGAAATCCTTACTTCACAAAAAATACAGTAGCGTGATTATTTAKGAAGTGCCCAGTCCATCCATAAGCATGGAGTCTGTCTAGACTATCAAAACAAATTCATTTGTCATTAATACTGAGGATAGATATGATATATACCATAATGAAAGACGATCACAGGGACTTTTCAGACTTCAGGCCACGTAAAAACCCAGCCTCCATTCCTGACGTGTTTATCTCCCATAGGTTCCCTGCAAAATTTGCATCTCCTCAGCAGAAATGTGGACCAGCAAAGCAAACACCTTCTATCAGGGAAGAATAAAATTAGCTTTGGCTGCTAGAAATGCTGCCGATCGGGGAAGATTTYCAGACCAATTACTGAGCGAGAACTACCTGAAAATCCATCAAGACACGGAGCTGGAGGTACTGATGTTCAACATATATTTTAGAAACACTAGATTACCATGTGCCTGCTCCATCATCCCAAAGGACAACAAAATGAAGCACCAATATTGCCACAGCYTCCACAGTTCTCATGTTCCCTGACTCCACCTTGTATATTGTCCACCCTGATTCCAGCGTGTCACCTTCCGTATGGCCTCTTCCCAAGGCCACCGGCTCCCAGGTGGAGGGAAGGGGCATGGTGAGGACGGGAGGTGAGCCTTGCCCTCCTCCACCCGCTGGCTGGAGGGCACGGGGACGGGCTGGGCTGCGCTGGGGTGTCAATCACTGCGGCTCCCACAGCAGGGCCACGTGAGAGGAGGTCCCTGCACGCCGGGCAAGCTCGGATTGGCTGGACATGGGCAGCTTAGTGGGAACCCCCAGCAGGACAAGTAAAAGGAAAGGAGAGGTAGGGACATTCTCCAAGGCCGCTTGATCAAAATAAGAAACGGTCCTGTGAGACTTTGTGAGGTCGGTCTCCTGAAAGCTTCAGATGGCAGCAACAATCACCAAAGGCAGATAATTCCAAAATACCACCTATTTATTCCATGTGAGGACAATTTCTGCTCAATCTGTTCCCCAAACCTCCAACTACAGTTTTCTCCAGAGTCTGTCTTCATTTTTTTCCTTCCCTAAAAGTTCAAATGTTCTTTCTACTGCCCGACTGAAAGCCTTTTATATGTTGCCTGAAAGAAGCCTTTTATATGTTGGATGACTTGTGTTTCCTTCTGCCTTTTTAGGCTAAACAAAWCAAGTCCTTCTGCCTTTCATTACAACTTGCTTTTGCTAAACCTTCCTGTCACTTCCCTCTGGGCCCTTTCCAGTCTGCCTACATCTTTCTTAAAGATCACGCTTCCAGCTTTGGTCACAAGATTTGAAACCTTCCTGAGGTCAGAAAGCACCACGTGCATTACTGCGTCTGACAGCAAGAGCAGCTCCATTCCCATGCGGTGTCTCCAAGGAGCAAGGTTGACCTGCAGTACTCACACGGAGCTGGCATTTCTCTGGCAGTGACAGCCCTGTTGCAGACTTGCAAGCAAGCCGATGCTACCAGAACATTTTTCACTTTTCAGGTTTTCCTGAAAGCAGAAGATGTTTTTCTGTTCTGAAAGGCAGGTTGAGTCACAAACACTCAGCTGAGAGCACCCAGCTCTTTCTAACACAAATTCTGGTTTGCATTTTCAATTTCCTTGACTTAGGCAAGTCTTTGCAGAAAGCATCCATTTTGTTACTAGAAATCATGGTTTGCTATCAAAATACTATTAAGTTTTATTATCACATCTACAAGGGACATCAATGCACTGTACATTCATGCTTTGAAAAAAATGAGGCAAATAAATGCTGAAGGAGAAAGAAGCTGCCCTCTAGCTCTGTCTTGGTTACATAAAATTTGTGCTACAGTACCCGAGATCCCTCTTGAGCCAGAGAAGTATTAGGTGTGATATCTATCTTTCTGCCTCCACGCTTGGATTGCTCCATGAAACAATTACTTAACGCTATCAGAATTGCCACAAGGTCCTTTAGCTTACAGTCCAGCAGCTCTTCCCAAAATTAGAAAGAACAACATGCGAAACCAAAACATGCACTCCCGAATTGCTGCAGAGCGGTTATTCC